CGCTCCCTCGGGCACGGTCCCGCCTGCACCGCTGACACTTAACCAAGTTCAGTGCCCAGGTGACCTGAATTGCCTTCCCGATTCAGTGATTAAAGTTAATTAATGCCACGATCGCATTTTGGCATCTTTTTAAGCAATTATTGCAGCTCTTCCTCCCTCCCTCCCTCCCTGTCATAGTTGCTATAGATAAAAGGAAATAATACCTCCCTACCTACATGACACTGCTCTGAGCATTAGCTAGGCACTAGTGCAGTACTTGGAAACTCTCCACAGCGTATGACATGTCAACAGCAAACTGGTAAATACAGCAATTGACTGCTACTTAATGAGAAATGTTAAATTTGGAACTTTCCTTTTTTAGGTAAGTAATTGAAAAAGGAAGTGAAGAAGGAATTGCTTTTGAGCTGCTGCTTCTGGTTTCCTGTATGGTTTGTTTATAGTAACATAAGCTGAGGCCTTAGTCCTAAGTAAGCAGATTCTTTACTAGGTTCTATGCAAACAGAACATTTTAGTGTAATAAAGTTCATTAAAGAGAAAATAATGTTCTGAATTTGTAAGTAAATAGTTTAATGCAGACTATTCTTGCTAAGACTCACTGAAATATATAATGGCCTCAGGTTGCACCAGAGGAGGTTTAGATTGGGTATTAGGAAAAGTTTCTTTACCCAAAGGGTTGTCAGGCAATGGAACAGGCTGCCCAGGGAAATGATGGAGCCACCATCCCTGGAGGCGTTCAAAAAACATGTAGACATGGCACTTCAGGACATGGTTTAGTGGGCATGCTGGTGTTGGGTCGACGGTTGGACTTAATGATTCTATGATTCTGTGCTATGATAGCTCATTTTTCATGGTAACCAAGGGCTTAAGAGTGTCATTGTGATAGGAATACTGAGATAGTAACTATTAATGATTCTTCTTAGTCTCTATACTTCTGTTTTCAGTTAGCTTAACAAAGTCTATTCATACTGTTGCCGAAAAACTCAGAATAAAGAACTTATCGACACCAATGTGATGTAGATAAGCAGACACTTCTTTATTGACGGCCGGGTGCGCAGGGGAATGCTCTCGCCAACAACGCCCACCAAGCCCCAAAAACGTACATCTTATATAGAACTTATTCATGCATATCCATTAAGTATTCATACATAAAAAAAAAAAAATGGCAAATCAGTAACAATACTAAATGTATGTGCTCTGTTTGCAGTACATGTGTGTATATGGATTGGTCTGTCTTGCATAAAACATAAATGGCTTTTCATCCCAAAGTGTAAGAACTTCACAGAAACTTTATATATAGTCCTTTGCTGACACTGATATTCCTCTAGGGCAAGTTCTCACTAGATGCATCGAGCACTGATTAATAATAACAGCTGATGTAAAGGAAATTTTATTCTTAATCCAAAGCAGGAGAACTTGCAAGGTTAGAGATCTTGGTCTCTCGTGTCTTGCCCCATCCACTCCTAGTCTCACAATTTGTAGTAACACTTACCTGAAATATAGCTTTAATTTTAATTGCTAAGATTGTAGGTTGTTCAGGTAGGTCAGATTACTTCCTTTTTTCTAAAGGAGTAAAAGTCATGGATCAGGGAACCCCTGTTATTTTGATCTTGTTTTATCTACTATTACAGTAGTATACATATTACTACATATGTAGTGGGTAAATGAGGAATTTATTCCTAGACAGACGGAATACAGTCCACATTTCAGCTCTCAGTCACGTTTTATGGTTATGCCCATGCAATACACAGGATTTGTCATCTTAATCAGTTTTATGCCAAAAATGTAGCTCAGTTTCTATTGTAACGTAGAGATCACGTGTAATTTTTGTTGCCCAGTCCTTTCACAGTCTTCACATTCCCTGTATAATAGGGCTGTGATTCACAGCCCTTGCTGGATTTGTTCTGGCAGCTAAAGCAGTTACTGTCCCATAACTGTGGGAGGCTCCACGTACTGCAGTTCAGCGTAAGAGGTGTGATGAATCAGCCATCAGTTTTTTCATTTTATCACCCTATATTATTGCACTTCAGTGGTTTCCTATGCTATAAATTGATTAGTTGCCTCATCTCCTGTTTCTCACACCTTTGAATGAAGACCCTCAGCAGGCGATAAGTTTGGGCAGTTGAGAAAGGTAGTCCCTTTATTCCAGCTACTAAGTCACGTAGGGATTAGGAATTAAGCCCTTTCTGCAAGGTGGATAGGTTTAAAGATAAGCTAAAGTTTAAATCATGATGGGGTCAGTTTTCACTCTGTATCAGTTAACTTATAAAACACAAGTAATGAAATATTTTTATCTCCACAGCACCCATGCATGGTGAAGAAGCTTTATAGCATGGAGAAAGCAATACAGGGACAGTGTTCTGCAGAAGAGGAAAGACATTCCTGGGGTTCAGTTTTAAATGAAAAAAAATAGGAACTGAGTCAAATGATTAGTGAGAAGCGCTACAGCAAACAAGACTTCCTATAAAGAAGGAAAGAGGGAGTAGAGCTGTGATGCTTCAGCAGCGTCTTGTGTGAAACACTTGGGCTCATAAAGATTACAGTTCATGAGCTGTCTTGCCACTGGAGTTGTTTCCCCTTTGTATTGTTTTCTGTCTCCTCCTCCTTCTACTCCAAATTCTAAAGGCATAAGTGTGGGACTAGTGTTTTTGCTGTTGGAGTGTGGCATTTTTCAGCCCACTGGTTAAAACTGAAATATTTTTATTTGTGTTGTTTTAGGTGCTGCCTTTCATCTATCGTGCCATTGGTTCAAAGCATCTTCCTGACAATAACATCAGCTTTGTTCATCTTGATTCCCATCCAGACCTTCTTATTCCTGTGAATATGCCTGCAGACACGGTATTTGACAAAGAAGCTCTTTTTAAGTAAGTCCTGGGTACTGCATCAGAACACTGTACGTCCACTTCTTGCAGCCTTTGATTTACAGTGAACATTGGTATGAATGCGTTGAAGTATGAACAAAAGAGATGTAAGTCAGGTTCAAATTTTATCTTTTGTCTTTTCACTCTTGCTGAAAACTTTATTTTTTTGAATGGGAAAAATTACGTTTTGTGAATGTGGTAAAATGTTTATGTTGCATATCAAGCCATTTAAGACATATGAATTCCCTTTGCTTAGTTGTTCAGTAGTTATATAATGTTATTAGCCCAAGTAGTTCCTCTGGGTAGCAGGAGAGCACTCTGAGTGGATGCTTTGTCTGAAGAGTTTTAAAACAGCCTTTCTCCCTTCACACCGAAACATTGACTTTGGGATTGAAATGACATGGTGAATATGTGAAGTTGAACAAGATTTTCCTTGATCATTAAGACCAATGTGTTCCCTGAACTTCTTAGGTAGGTAGGTAACAAACCACAGAGTGATCTCTGCTGTTGTCTTTCTCTTCCTGTTTTAAAATAATTATTGATTGTTTCAATATTATGGTGGTTTACAGCAATGACAAGCTGATCCAATTGGTCTGTAAGTACTTGACATCCTACCCAGAGTCAATATTTTGTTATCTCTGTCGGTTGAATAAGAAGTTTTGTGGGCTATATCGTACACCTAAAAAAATAAGGTGTTGATAATGTGGAAGGGTGCTAATCTGTAGATGCTGATTGACTCACTTTAATAACTGAGATTATATTTAAAATCTACTTAGAGCAGTTTATAATAAAATAATCTCATTAGGTCAGTTTGAAGTTATTTAGAATAGTGTTGGTGATGCTCCTTGCACCTTCCTCTGATATATCAAGAGAAAAAGGACAACAAATCCATGTAGTGTGTAATGGAAGTGCCATGCTAAGAGTGAAGCTGATTGCAGTCTATAATCCTAGCTTTTAAAAATCTACTATAGACATTTTTAGTCTATTTTACGAATAAATATTTCCCTCTTTTTCTTTCTTTGATGATGTGACCCTTACACAGAGCACTAATTTCAGATGATTAGCATGGGGGTTTTCAAGATGTGGAAGATGTTCGTGGTGTTCTTGACTATGTTTTACTTACAGGGAAGTAAGTGTTATCTCCTGCCTTTCTCCATTCATTGCAGTGAATTAAGTATTGAGAACTGGATTATGCCTGCTGTTTATGCTGGCCATATTTCTCAAGTCATATGGCTTCACCCACCGTGGGCTCAGCAGATCTCAGAAGGAAAACACAATTTTTTAATTGGGAAAGACATGTTAACAACTACAATCAGGTAATTTGTCTGCTGTCTTATACTAGTGATATAAAAGCTATCTCTATAGCTTTTCACAGGCATTTTTTTGTATTCTTGGATAAAGATGAAAATTTAATTTTTATTTGTGATTTTCTTGGGACCTCATGTGACTGTTTGAATGGCACAGTAAAAATTGTGCCTTACTTGTTTTTTTTATAGGTAACTAGCTATTCACATTTCACTTCAGCTACCCAGGTTTTAAATTAGTTCCACTCATTAAAGTGAAAAAATCTCAGAAAACAGTCATTTTTAACAGAGGATTTAGGTAACAAAGAGCAGCAATTAGATCCTCTTCAGCCTTCCCTTATCAGGATGAAACAAACTCAGTTCCCTCAGCTTCTCCTTGTTCATCACGTGCTCTGGCCCTGTAATCACCCTAGTGACCCTCTGTTACATCTTCAGTTTATTGATATCTCTTTTGTCCCGGGGGCCCAAATCTGGACAGATTATTCCAAATGTGACCTCACTCGTGCTGAATAAGAGGAGAAATCTGTTCCTGTGGCCTTTGAGCTATGCTTTTGCGAATACAATGAAATTTTGTGATTAATCTTTATTGCTCCAGGGGTGTACTGCTCACTCATACTCAGGTTGCTTTCTACGGGGACTACCAGTTCCTATTCTGCAGGTCCTTGCTTGTCTGTGCCAACCCTGTACTGCTGCACGGGGTTAATTCTGTCCCAGGTACAGGACTTTGTATTTATCTTAGTTTAATTTAGTGAGATTCCTGTAGGCTGTTCCTCTAGGCTGTCTGTCATTCAGGAGGCCAGCCCTACCTCCTCGTGTATCAGCTACTCTCCTAAGTTTGGTGCTGCCTGTAAACTTTCTAAGACTGCATTGCTGAGGCCTTTAATGAAGTTGTCAAAGCAGTAACAATCCCTGAGGAACAGCTAGCTGTCAGTGAGACCTGGAACCATTGATCACCACTATGGAACTGTTGGTCTAGCCAGTTTTTCACCCACCTTATACTCCACCCAATGAGTACATATCAAGGATTATATACATATGATCATATGATGATAGATATTAAATAATTTTAAACATCAGGGTTACCTAATTTTCAACTTTATCAATAGTGCATCCATTATTTTCTCTACCAGTTACAATTATTGATAGGAGATCCTTCTTGCTTTACCATTCAGTCATAGAATGCCACATTCTAACCAAACTCCTAGTACAGTCTAAAAAATTAAATAAATAATAAAGCAATGAGGTCACTTTGATAAAACTGGCCTGAAATAAAAAGAGGATACTACTATTTAGCAAATGTTACAAAATTTGTAATTACTTTTTGCATGATTCTATCTCATGGTAACATACTTAAGAAAACTATGTGTTTTAAAACAAACTTTTTTTACTATTCTGGATTGAAAGAGAGAGAGGAGTCACATACGGGCTATGTGAGGAGAAAAATCACTTGCTCTGCTTTGATTCTGTACTCCTGTGTAGCTATTTTCAGCTAGTTCCTTTGATAAGTTTCCCTTCAGGGTGTGCTTACATGGTTAAATGCAATATGACTGACTGACCCGTAAAGTTCAGAGGTTTGTGTTCAGTAAAGTTGTAAGAAAACAAAATTGGACAGAAAGCGAAGTGCAGCTTTTATTTTATTTTCTAAATGGAACCTAAAGGTACCAATCAGGACAGTTTTTTACTAGCAAGATCAAAGATCTTGCTAGTAAAATTTTTGTTTGGTATCAGCCATGGTTCTGGGTTTGTTTTGTGGGTTTGGTTTTGTTGTTGTTGGGGTTTTTTTTGGTGGGTTTTGGGTTTTTTTGAAATTAGTCTACTAGTCAAGCACTGAAACAGGTACACAGGCAGATGGTGAATTCTCTTTCATAAGTCCTTTGATAAAGTCAAAAGTCAGGGGGACAAGGCCCTAAGCAGCCTCATCTGGCTTTGAAGTTAGTTCTGCTTCGATCAGATGGTTGACTAGAGACTTCTAGATGTCTCTTCCAATCTTAATCATTCTGTGGTTCAGGTTCCGGTCAGAGCCCCTCCTCATTCTGCAGGACAAAGTCCATGGCAGTTTCACAGTCACTGTATTCACTGCCTTGTGATTTTGTACAACTTGAATAGATGTTTACAAATCATATCTCTTGTCAGCATATCAGAATAAATCTTTTGAAGCAAGTTTAACAAGACAGCAGAGAAATGCTTTGTTTTACCATTTTAAATAAAACACTAAAGCTCTAAAATTGTGAATCTGAAGCCTAAAGAAAACCTAAATAATAAGACAGAAATTGATGGTTTCAATTACATTTAGCCATGAGAACGAGCACACATACAGAAATACTTCGTGGTGGCCAAATAGCTCTCCCACAGATCCTCTAGTTGCCTTAGCAGTCTTGAAAACAGCATTTCAAGCTGCCTTTTGATGACAGTCAAGTTCCTTTTCTTCAGATTCTAGGCTTACAGAAATCATGAAGGAAGGAAGGGAAGGAGTCCTCAGAACGATGAACTTCCTAAAAGTTTTGTTAACAACAGGCGGCTGGATAGGCAATAGGGTTAGTGTCTCACTAAGGGAAAGGCTTTAGCATAAGCTCATGTTGAACCCTGGAGAATTTCTGAGAAGACACCCTGTGAATGGCCCATCAACAAGATGAAGTTGTGATCCAGGCTCTCATTTTAGCAAGCTCAGGATAATCCAGCCACAAGACACTGGGAAACTAAGATTCAAATTTCATCTGCTTTATGAAATTATTTGTCATTGTGGTTGATTGAAGGTGATGCCCTGTAATCGAATGAGGCCTTAACACGAGTGAGCAGAAGTTCACACTTCTTAAGCTTATTTTTTAATCTGAATTTATGATGCTTAAGGTTTAATGTACTGAAATACAGCTTAAAAATTATATTCTTTAAATTTTCACTGTTTCACTGTAACCAGAGTTTTTAGCATTGTTGGTTTTGGTTGGTTGGTTGTTTTTTAGCTTATTTTTTTTAATTAACTGGATTCCTTTTAGATGTAGCTATTCATCCTTAAGTTACTGGCTCTCCCCCACTTAGAATAGGGAATCTATATTGGTGGTAAAAAAGGTAAATGGTACCCATTAATTCATAATATTTTACTTCTACTAAGTCAATATATCCATGGGTTTAAGGTTCTCAAACACAGCTAACAGAATTTTCCTTAAAAATTAGGCGATCCAAGACAAAATATCCATAGCTTTGCAGTCTTATATCCCATAATATTGATAATATCTTGTTAAATTCTAGGTGTTTTCTTTAAAAGTAATTCAGTGGCAAATTAATCTTAGTAGCGTATAATGTCGAATATTTTTCTTATCCATTAAAACCTTGTAGGGCTATCATAAAAAATACACAGAGATTTTTAATATATTTATTCAGCAATAAAGAAGTAGAAAAAACTTCAATTTAAAAACCTTTGGATTAAAATAAATTATTTTATGTACATAGTTTTATTGCTTCTGTTAACCCATCAAAAGTCTATTCATTCTTCTTGGGATCCCAAAAGTGTACATGCTTTTTTCTGAGCTCTTTGCAAAGATGTATATTAACTGTGAGTTATTGTCAATTGTAGGGTTACAGGTACAGATCATTACTTTTTAAGTGATGGTCTTTATGTCCCTGCTGATCAGCTAGAAAACCTGAAGCCTTTAAATTTACACGTCATTCTCATCAATCCCACTGAAGCATCAAACAGTGGGGAAAAAAATGGCGAAGTACCACATGCTAAGAGAATGAAGCTAAATACAGATGACACAGCAAGCACCACTTCTCCCTCTTCATCAGTGGCTCCTGGTGACCTTGATCACAGCACCCTAAATGTGAAGAAAAAGGAAGTACAAAATGAAAATGCCCTGAACAGGGCAGAAACCTTGTCAGAGTTCTCAGCTTCGGCCTCGCTAAGAAACAATGAATGCTCAATAAGAGAAGTTGTTAAAGATGTCTGCCAAGCCCTGCAGAAAGGGGATGCGTATGTTTTGGACATTGACTTAGATTTTTTTTCAGTTAAAAATCCATTCAAAGAAATGTACACCCAGGTAAGCATGACAATGGAGAGGCCTCTTACTATTCACCAGAGAGTACCAGTCCTAGCATTTATGTCTAAGGAGAAACTTTAATCTAAAATAAATTAGCAGATCAGCTGATCATGATTAATAGTAACATTTGTAGGAGAGACATTCTAAAGGAGTGTACGCTCCACAGAATCACAACAACCCCGTAGGGGTAGATCCTTACATTTGAAATCTACATTGAGTGCACATTCAGGCTCAGAAGTATATGGCTCACTTCTGCTTTTTGCTTGGGGCATAAAAGCTGTGCTTGGGTTTCCAAAGGTAACGTTCCAGATACCTACAGCAAGATTCATCAGGGGGAGATGACAGATTCTACCATTTTTTACCCCCTGTAACATGCTGTTGGAAAGCCACAACGGTATCAGGAGACTGCCTTTCAAAAGTCATGGTGGTGGTGATGATCCAAAAAATGGTAACTTGTTCTGAGGAGAGAGGCTGTTACCCTCATTTCCTTTGTCTGGAGTGCTGAGTGTAAGGATGAGCAAGCAGCTGTTGTCTCTGAGGCCGTGGCTTTGAGCTCAAGACTCTGCCTTGTCTTCCATTTATAACTTGGCTGCACCGCAAAGGTAGCTCATCTGTATAATCATAAATATGTAGATCCTCAAAGGTGCAAAGCAGTTAGCACCTTTAGCTTTTCATGTCAAGTTAGCCTTTCTTGACATGAACAGGGCTTTTAGGAGATAACTAATCTGCCCTGAAAATTGAGTGTGGCATTTAGGTTTACAAATTCTTCTGCAATATCCTGACTCTTTTTAGCATTTAAATCTCTCTTTTAACACTGTTTTAACTTCAACTACGCTGGAGATCGTCTGGCATGTTTGAGTTTCAGCTAGATGACTGCTTCCTTGTTCACTGTAAAGAAGTTCATATAGTGTCCCTGACCTCTGTTAGCTTCTGACATTCAGTATTTATGATCACAGTATCTTCAGAAACTCTGCAACGCCAGTTGTTCTGAATCACAAAGAGAAGCATATAGCAGAGGGGGAGCACGGCAGGGGTCTTGCCATATAAAAATAGAATTCAGTACCCCTCTTAGGGGTATTTCAAGAATTAGGGCTTGAAATACATTCTGAATAAAATAATGGAGGAGTTTTTTTGAGGGGGTTATTTGGCTAGTTTTTTGGCAGGGTGATGGGGTGTGGTGTTTTGTTTCTTGTGGGTTTTTTTGATTTTGTGTTATAGGTTCTTAGTTCTGGGAAATGCTTTCAGAAGTGGACTTGTGCAGAGTGTGCAGTGTACCTTTTTTGATAAAATGTTTTCATTTGCAGTTAATATTTCTTAACTGTGTTCCCTCTATTGTAAATTATGATAATTCCATCTAAAAATTTTTCCCAATTTAACACTTGAAATTAAAGAATCTAAGGAAAAGCTAAAAAGCAAATGTAGTTCACCAATCCAGATAGTATTGTCCTCCCACCAAAAAATTCTAAAATCCAAAACATTGCCCTAAAGATGTTATGTATTTCTGTAAATATTGAATAGTTTACCCTTCCTTTCTTCTTCTGCTCTGAAAAATTGATGCCTTCACCTTTTTCATGCTGTTCAGTAAATAATGAGATTTGTTTATCCTTAATTAATTAAACCTAAATATTATCAAGGAGAAGGGCTGACAAGCCCCTTTAGTAGTTTACTTGTGGACTTGTTGGCCAACCAGCTTGAAGCCTTTACTTGTGCTGTTTCCCTAGAATCGTACTCTCCTGTTGGTTTTGTCTGCGTGAATCTGCTGTCTCAGTTTTGCTCAGCGTCTCACTGGAATCTTAGTTCTGTAACATTTAACTAACAGTCTGTAAATATTTAGTTTTTAAATCTGTTCTTGAAGCCAAGTTTAAATTTAAGCAATTGCAAAAGGTTTGGCTGAGGCCATGAAGTATTGCTATCCTAAGCCTCACTGTCTCTTCCTCACCTACAGTTCTAGAGAGTTGCTTGCAGTACTAGAGTAGATGAATGATTCTGGTGACCAGATTCTTTTTTTGAAGAATGAAGAATTTGAGGATCTTGTTTCTTGTTTGAAGAGTCTAATTTTTTGCCTCTTTTTTTCTTTTTCAAAGACAGAATATGAGCTTTTGCAAGAGTTGTATAATTTCAAGAAGCCTCATGGAAATGCAACAGAGGTATGACATTTTCTTGTGGGATATATGAGGGAATGATTCTTTTGATTTACCCAGTAAAAATTAGTTACAACAAGGGAGGAACCTATGAAAGGTACTTAATTAAGTGATCTCCAGTTAGGCTATGAACATGCTGAATGCTAATCAGCACCATCTTAGGAATTCTTTCCTATTAAATGTTTTGGTTAAACGTATGAATTGCATAAATATTTAGTATGACTGTGAAAATTAATTTCTTGAAATAAGTGGTAATTGACAAGGAAGAAATGAAAATATAATGACTTGTCTACATGCTTGTTCTTTTTATGGCTCAACAGGGCTTTGCTTTGGGGTTTTTTTGTTTGGTTTGGGGTTTTTTGGTGGTTTGTGTTTTGTTTTCCCCCTCCAAGCTCTTTCCTTCTTTGCCCTAGTTGCTTTTCTTTGATAGTCAGAACTGTGCTGAATACCTAACTGGTATTTTACCTATTTATTTAGATGTAGAAAGGACAGTATTATACCATTGTAATTTAATTTTCATTTTATGCATTGTACACTCTGAATCATGGAAATGTAAGCCTGCTGTAGGTGCCAAAGTAATCATTCAGCCCTGAACCCAAACCATGGAGATAGCCATATTAATGGTCATTACACCAAGTAATTTCTAAACAAGATCTTGTCTCTGCTTTTGTAATCTCATCTGAACACTATTACAAAGAGATTCAACACATATAATCATGACAGATTAATAAATCCTAATTAGTATGCGTGTATGAGGAAATTGAGATATGTGTAAGGTTGTCAAATTTATTTGCATATATCTTAGTCAGCAATGAAAACCAGTACCTATTTAAAAGGCAGTACATGTAAAAAGGGTAAATGCTTGTGATTCAAGTGCTCAATATTATTTCAGGACATGTTATTTACAAAAGCCAATAAATTTAGAGGAGGGAACTGAAATGGTTAGCAGACAGAGTGAGTAATGAATAGGTATAGAACTGAACAACAGAAGACTAGATTCATGGATGGTTTTATAGTGACAGTCAAATTAAAGGGTTTGAAGGTAGAAAGCTAGTGAACTTGGTGTTTTTTGAAGTTTCAGAAAATATCCTAGAAGTCTAGTGTCTTAAAATCTGGTTTTGTAGTTCCCAAGTAAGGTCAGATGTACATTTCTGTCATACTAAAAGATAATAGTGTGGTGTTTGGGACTCATTTTTTTTTAGTTTTGCTTCTTAAGTAATATAGAGGGGGATCCTTAAAGTTAGTTACTGGTGCTGCTTAGGAAAGGATCTTATTCATACCCCAGGATAGGATCATAAAGCTGTACTTCATGAATGGTTGATACCCTCAGCTCCTCTTAAAAATGAGCCCAGAGTTGACATGGCCAAAAGAAGCAGCATCTGTTGCATGATACAGGCAGCAGAATCCTAAGAGGGAATTATTATGTTCTTAATTGTTACCCATCTATTCCCATGTGCCTTTTAATAATTTTTCTTCACACATTGCTGCATTTTTAATACTAAAGATGTCAAGCATTGCTTTTCATTTGATATGTTATGCAGGATCTCTTTCTGCAAACGTTTGTGTGTACAACTGTATTCATGTGTGTAGCTTCACTCCAAGGAGACTGCCTCTTTATGTGTTCTGAACTTTTAAAGAAAGAGCATAAACCTTTGCAGGATCAGAGCAATAACTGACATTTTAAATTAATTCCATGGTTTTTTAGGCACTCAGAGTTGAAACAACCTCAAAGCATCAAATAGTCCATTTTGTTTTGTTTTTCTGAAAACGAATTTGATGTAATAATATTAATTTTTTTTTAAGCTTAAAAAAATAAATTATCCTTTCATTATTAGGATATAAAGCTTGTTCTCATCTGAGCATTTCAGTGCTATAGAAACAAATCCAACAATTAGTCATGTACAGTTTCTTAGCTTTCTCTGGTGTATTCTGCCAGAATGTAAATGTGGCTTTTTTTTATTTGTTGTGGGAAAGACAGAGCAAAGAGAGGTAATTTATTCTGAAGATATAACAGCTTCTGCAGGTATTCATTCTTATCCTCTTGAAAAGAGGTTCTGTAGTAATGAATTAGCTGTTTCTGATTCCCGACTTCAGTAGATCAGTCATTTCAGAATTTAAATCATAGGGTAAGCCATGACATTCTTACCTTTTTTTTTTTCCCCTAACATACTTGTTTATATGTGCTTATTTAAAGGAGGGCTTGCTGGATTGTGTTGAAAACCGTGTTCATCAACTAGAAGATCTGGAAGCAGCATTTGCTGATTTGTGTGACAGTGATGATGAAGAGACCCTACAGAAGTGGGCTTCATATCCTGGGTAGGAGATTTCTAAATGGCTTAAAATGCAAACAGTAGTTTGGGAACTGATTCACCCAGCACTTTCCTAACAAAAAAAGGAGAGGCTGGATAGGATCTATGCAAGGCTATGATTTTTGCTTTAGTTCTAGAGGAGAAAGAGTCCGACAAAACAAAAGTAAAGGCATTTTACTCTCTTCAGTGACATGGTAAGCCTTCCAAGATGAGCCTTGTACAGCTTCATTCAGATTCTGTTGTCTGTGGAGAAAGACACCTTTAGTGACTAAAAATTTAGTGATCTGTGTGAAGCAGCACTCTCAAAAAAGCAAAAACTACAGAGGATGTGGAGAAGGGCTACTTTGGTGCTCCCGAAGGTTCTGCTTTCTGTTGAAAAATAGAAGTGAATGAAAGGCTGTACGTGAGCAACAGTGTCCACAAGACATCTCAGCAGCTTCCACTATGCTTTTAAACTAAATGTTTTCAGCTGAAAAGAAACAGCAAAAGTCCAAGCTTTTCCTTGGTAGAAAAATCACTTATTTACCCCATCAAATGCAGCATTTACTGCCAGACCTGTGTAAGTGACCACAAACATTTCTTATCGAATTCATATGACTTAGAGCTGCTACAACAGCTTCTCTCCAGGTCTGCCCTAAAAGAAGTGCAAAGAGGTCTTGCCAGAGACAGGCATGAGTATAAGGACTTTCTAAGAAAGACCTGGTGAAACAGTACAATAGTGCTGGTAATTTCCCTTTTTCTCAGGTGCAAGATGACACAGAGGGGCAAATTTCATTTTCAAATCATAGGCTATGCTAGCTTCTACTTTCTTTTTTTATCTCTCTTTTTTTTTTTAACCACTTAAGGTAAATATATGTGTCTCTGCCTGTTGATGTAACAAGTGTTGGTTTTGTTTTAACTCCAGAATGAAGCCACTTGTTCAACTAGTTCACAGTTTGAAAACCAGGATGGAAAGCCCAGACTACGAAATGGTAGGTGACTAGGTAAATGAGCAGACAGTAGACAGATTTCAAAAGCATAGCTTCAACAGGGAGGGAAGAGATCATGCTTCATTTCAGACTTGCTTCTTGATTCAGGACTTTGTGATATTTTGGTAGTTTTCCTTTTTTTTAATGTCTTATTACTTAGGCCAGATTGGTTCGTTTGTTTGGTTTTCGGTTTTGGGTTTTTTCCTCCCCAACGCTTCTAAAATTGTACTTTGCTTGTCTGTATTTAGGCAACATTAATGTGATCTTTCAGGACTGTGACATCACAGGCTGCTTCATGTGAAGGATGGTTTCATTTCACCAGGGTCTGTTGATGCACTTTATAGAACTTAAGGTACTACTTTGTAGAATGTAAGACCTATCATCTTCGAGGGCTGCAGCATTCTCTGAATTCATAAGAGAGGTACATTGTACTGGAGATAATGAAACAATCCATACAACCTCCAGAATTTTATTCTTTTTGTTTAAAGAACAAGTTGGGGGGAAAAAAAACAAAACACAACTCTTAATGCCTGACGAGTTGTAAGTTACCTATTGGCCTAGGGACAGTATCTTAGAGACTTTTTACACAGTTACATATCAATATTGATATAAGCAGCTCTGCAGAGAAGGACCTTGGAGTCCTGGTGGACAGCAAGTTAACCATGAGCCAGCAACATGCCCTCATGGCCAAGAAGGCCAATGTTATCCTGGGGTGCATTAAGAAGAGTGTGGCCAGCAGGTCGAGGGAAGTTCTCCTTCCTCTCTACTGTGCCCTAGTGAGGCCACATCTGGGGTACTGTGTCCAGTTCTGGGCTCTCCAGTTCAAGAAAGACAAGGAGCTACTGGAGAGAGTCCAGTGGAGAGCTACAAAGATGGTTAGGGGACTGGAGCATCATTCTGATGAGGCAAGGCTGAGAGACCTGGGTCTGTTTAGCTTGGAGAAGACAGAGGGGATCTTACCAATGCTTATAAATATGTAAAGGGTGGGTGTCAAGAGGATGGGGCCAGACTCTTTTCAGTGGTGCCCAGTGACAGGACAAGGAGTAGCAGGCACAAATTGGAACACAGGAAGTTCCATCTGAAGATGAGGGAAAACTTCTTTACTGTGAGGGTGCCAGAGCACTGGGACAGGCTGCCCAGAGAGGGTGTGGAGTCTCCTCTGGAGATATTCAGAGCCCACCTGGATGCAGTCCTGTGCAACCTGCTGTAGGTGAGCCTGCTTTGGCAGGGGGGGTTGGACTAGATGATCTCAAGAGGTCCCTTCCAACCCCTACCATTCTGTGATCAATAATTCATCAATAGAGATTATATCTCTCTTTAATTTACATGTAGGTCCATCAAGCTGGTTTGACCTGTGATTATATGGAGCTTCCTCACCATGTTAGCACTGCAGAGGAGATCGAAGGCCTCATACAATCCATTAAACTTCTACTAAAAGATATGCCTAAGCCCACACTTGTGACAGTTGCTCGGTAAGGTTATCTAGATACTTTTACTTTAAAACTCTCGGACTGTGCTTATGAAGCTAAATGCTTCCCTCAATATAGCACTGGTTGGCACATCTTAAATTCTGTCTTAAAGTGGAAGCCTTATAGTGTAGTGAAAATTGACATGTGAAAATCTTGTTCATAAAGCAGTGACAATGTCTACACAGCAAAGGGGAGGTTCTGTGCTGATGTCCAGTTTCATTGGGCTAGCACAGATTTCAAAAGCAGTGGAAACACAATGACTTAATGAGCTTCAGCACAGGGTATATAAAGCCTGTGATGAGGCCTTGTGTGTGTTGAGATTGATAAGCTGTCACTGGGGTTCATGCATCTCCACAAATTTTATTACTTGTGCTAGTTACAAGAGCAGAGCTAGCTTGGACAAGCCTGCGTGGGCTAAAGTCACACTCTCTTTATTCTCTTGCTCTAGGGTTTATTGTAGTACAGGTAAGATTTCTGTTTTCAGTGAAACTTCTGATGGAGGTGGTTTTCATCTAACAGGCCAAAAGGGATTTATATTCTAGAAAGCTCTAGTAAAGCTTTGTATGGGGAAAAAGTTACACTTTCTAGGACTGTAAAGGTGTTATTTGGGAGAACAGGATGGAGTTTGAGGCCAGGGACCTAGGAGAACCAGGGATCTATCAGAAAACTTAATTTGAAGACCACAGTGTATCTGTTCACAAATTGTTGTAAGTTAATCACTTAAGAAATACTAAGTGTCCCCTTAAAGAGCAGGCAACAATAGCAGAAGCTGACATGAAATTATTTTTGTCAACAAGAAATAGTATGGCTAATACCTACAATAAAAGAAAACTATATTTCCTGTGCCAGCTGCAGGGTTATCATCCACTGTTGCACAGAAAACAGAATCATTTATGTAGATCTTGGCAGATATAAAATCCAAGAATTGTCAGCTCTGCATTTTTACTAGTATCTGTTTGCAGTTCATTAACAGATACTGTAAATAACGCTATATCCCAGGGATTGTGAAGATTTGTTGAATTTCAAGTTCCCTAGTGATTTTACTAGTAGCATTTGAAATTCTAAATCTTAAATTTCCACCAGTCCTTTAATTAGATCGTTTGGTTGAACTTTGACTGCCAACATGTTCTGTGTCAGAGTCAGGGAGAGAGTAGAATTGGAGGGATGAATAGGTCACATTTCTAATCTGCTCCAGACTTTCTATTCAACTTCAGGCAAACTGTTACCATTGAAAGTAGTGAGGAGAAGCACAGCTCTAGGCTTTGAAGGGATACTGGGAGGCAGAACTCAGCAGTTTGCAGGTAGCTTCAGCCTAGGCACAGAGCATTAAAAGAATATGAAATGTGGTCATGGTAGTGATATCTGTACTCTCATGTTTTTTTCAATTCCTTGTTACAGATCAAGTTTGGATGACTATTGCCCTTCAGAGCAGGTTGACATCATTCAAGAGAAGGTTCTCAATTTATTAGGTTCAGTGTATGGCACTCTGGATGTGCACTTAGATTACTCAAACACCTAATCTTCTTTGTGACCTTTCTTCAGGTATTGCCCTCTAATGCAGTGGATTATTTTAAATTGCATATTAGCTATGGTTGCAAGGGGAAAAATACTGTTATTTCAGCAGGTGGCACTAGAACCCAAGCTGACAAAGAGCTAGTTTTTGAGTTGCATTGCTTTTTCCACGTTAGCGGCATCTGAGCTGTTACCTGTTTGGCTTTGTTCAGATTAGTTCTGTCATTGTTATTTTTGCTGTCTTGTCTCTTAAAATTGGTGCAAGATTAACTATTTTTTGTCCATAACATGTATTTTTTTCATTTGATTTATTTAAGTGTCTGTAAAAAAAATAATAATATATATAACTTCTTAAAATAAATGGATTTCTTTTATGTAATTAAACTTTTTTGATGGAATTTGGTAACACGTGTTTGTGAGTTGCATTGTACCTTTTGAAAAATTATCTCAATAATGCCATTAAGACATTAGATTTATACATAGTGATCTTTCTTAACTGCTGTGCTCGAAATGACCAGGGATCCCCCTATCATTTTTCTAGAGCAGCTTATGGCTTCCTCCCCCATCCACAGAATATCATTTATACTCCACTGCATTAATATTGTCTTATTTTGCCTTGGAGTATTTCCTTGGTGACTCAGATAATATCCCTGATGTACAGACACTGGCATGGTATTTTCATTTTTACATGTTTTTGAGGATAAAAAGCATGCATGCATGTACATCCTTTTATCTGTTGAATGCTGTAAGGAGTTGAATTGATGCTTTCTTCAGAAACAAAGATTTAACTTCGCTGAAGTCAGCAGCAAAACCTTCTATACCAGGCTTTCACTCATTTCAGTATTGCTATTTGGAAAATAAAAGTTACAGAACTATTTAATTTAGAAAGCAATATGGTTCTAGACAAAACTGCCACTTCCAGAGGAAAAAAAAAAAACCCACAGAATATATTTGGGAATGAAACTGAAATGGGAAAGAGAAAATACCACCTAGAATATTGTCTTTTATTATGAGTAACTTTTGCTTGTAATTTCTTCTGAAATAGTTAAGTTCATTTGCTAACATTAGTATTTGCTCTACAGAGACTTTGTGCACTTTTACCGTTTTTTACTACTTCTGCTGTTGAAATAAATGACTGTTATACGTTGTAAATATGTAATTATTTTAAAATATTTCTTACAGTAGAATGAATTCCATGACCATGGACCCATTTTCTTCTTGCTTATGCCTTCTGTCACAAAGACATGGCTAGCCTTGGATCCAAGATCCTTAATACTTCATAAATTACAAGCGGCCATACATTGCATACAGAAACTAAATGGAGTTGGGTCATGTCCTGCTTTTGTAGTTTTTTGGGGGTTTTTTAAGTAAAAGATGCTCTTTGCTAGACTTGGAATAAGATTGTAAAAAACAAAGAAAAAACCCCAAACCATTGGGTCAAAGGTGCTAGGGGTACTCCTGCACTGTGGAGAATTTCGTTAGCCCCAGAAAGAGAACAGCTCAGGGTACAATAGCACAGTTCTTCCTGGCTAATTGATACTCTGCTTTCGTGTCCCAGTTTGAAAGTAGGCATCCAGGAAGGCAATCCTCCAGAAAGAGGACAGAACTGGTGAGGAGAGGGTGCCACTGAGCACTTTGCTGCCTGTGTTTCTGGCTGAAAAGACTTCCTGTGGTTCATCTGGAAAGGGCTGAATTTATAAATCAGCATACACTTCTCTGACAGTTGCTCTATGCCAAATTAAAGTCTAGCTCATGTTCCAGTTCAGGTTCATAGTTCCTTATGTCAGTGACTTACACCTGAGTTGTTTATACAACAGTTTCCTACAAATATGATGTAATTTAATGTTTCCTTCAGTTTCTTTGTGGCTGTTTGTCTTTGATGTAGACTGCAACCAGCCACCTTCAGTTGGGGTTGCTTTTTGCTTATATGATTATGCAGTAGCCAGTTTTCAGGGCTTTAGAGGGAAGATTGGAAAGTAAACAAAAGCCTTCCCAAGAACCTGTCTGTCCATAGCATTGACAAAAAACTGCCTGATTCATCATCTATTGAATTCAGGCTAGAGTGGATAAAATTGAATTTGAGTCTGAGGGCTTATTTTTTATAATAAAATGTGTTGGTGACTTTTAAAGAACCTTTGCTGAGCCTGGCTCAATTTGTTGTCATGAGATATCTGGCAACTATATAGCAAATGGGTTTTACAACATGTAATTTACTTGTCAAGAGTTTTCTTCGGGAAAAAGCATTCCTATTCAAACTTTGCCCTGTCAGACAACAGGAACTCTCTCTTAATTGAGTTTTTTTGCCTGGCACAAAGCAACATTTTCATCTTGCTTTCACTTACTGGCTGCTTGTAGAAGGTCATACCTGTACTTTAGAATATATTTTTAAAATTCTGACTTCACCTTTCTCTGCAAGTCCCTCCAGCTGACCAACATGTACCACCATGCACTCAGGTCATCCCTGCCTCAGCTACTCCTCAGGCCTCTGGAAACATCAGCTACAACATATTTTAGAGGTATCAAGATTTGGATCTTTCCAGGGAAATCTACCATTCTTTCAGGGTAGATTCCCAGCTTCAGAAGCAAAAAGAGTCAAGATTAACTCCTTGGTGGTCTACACCTCCCATGGAGAGGCAATGGTTAATGTAGGGAATGCAAGTTGTGCTCAATGTCAGAAACTCATCTAAAAGGGGAGTAAAGGAGAAGGAACCCTTCTCTGCAGCTTGAGTGGTGAGATTTTTAATTTACCCTTTGCTTTGCTGTGTTTTGTGGAGGGTCTTTACCAACTCAGTGGAATAGCTCACCCCCAGTTTGGTTATCACTGCAAAAACTGATTTCTGCATCTTCATCTGCTTTTGCTTTTGAAATTTTATGATTACTCTTTTGCACTTACTTGACCTTAATCAAGATATTGCTAGGATGACTCTGGGAGCAGAACTGAAAACATCCAGGAAGTTTTTATAATAAGTAGTTCTCAAGATGCCTGCACGACAAGATGGTTGTCTCCTTGGAAACATTAATCTTAGACCTGGTATTTGCTCTGAGACTTTCATACCAGTTATATATGATCTCTTGAACATGTAATCATATTCTTTATTCGTTGTAATTAGATATATGACTCGGATTAATTAGCCTGGTACAGCAGCAACATATTACAATGAAGTGCAAGTTTGAGAATGTTGTGGAGTTTCTCTTACAATTAGAATTTAAATCACTGTTTAAAATGACACTTTATTTCCATTTTTATTCTTAAATTCATTAGCACTGATTTTCTTCTTCACCAAGAAATGGAAAAAAACTGACTTTTTTCAGTGCTCCAGTAAAAGGTGTTTTTTTTCTCTGCTCTGAGACACCAACACTTAAGATGAGCCTGTTAGCAAGGCAAGCCTTTTTCAGTTTTTAAGAAAGAAAGCCTTTTAAAACTGCATTTTTACTACTGCCTTGAAACACAGAGTAGCTAGCCTTGCTTGAATATGATCTTTATGTTTTAAAATGTAGTCTTTGGTGCAGCCTTATGAACTGGAGATTGTTGTATTTGCATCTCTGCACAGATGGATGGGTAACTCACATGGAAAGCCACAGAGCCATCTAGAAATGGGCAGTAAATTCATGGACACACAAAATTTATAGCAAGTCTTGAAAAGGCAGAGCTTTGGCTTCCTCTTTGACAGAGAATTAAAGCTGAACTGAATGGAGAGTTCAAGTTCAGAAGCAGAAGGTAACACCCGTGTTTTCTTTTGCTTTGTGTGGGTACCAAAAGCAAGAATGCTCCAGGAAGCTTGTCTGTTTCCTTCTGGTACAAATATGTTGCATATGATTAAGAAAATCAGAAGGAATGCCAAAGACTTTCTAAAGAGAAGGACACTGTGGATCACTGGCTTAAGCTACAGTAGCTGAGTATTAGTACTGAACCAGGACTAGCAGTATGAATTCAAATTTCTTAGTATGCAGCAGTAGTAAGGGAGCCAAATGGTATCTCTCGACTAAAAACATCACCTACTCCATCCATATTATCAGCTTCATGTGCAAGAGGACAATTTTTTAAAAACATGTTTCTTGAGGCTAGATCTTATTTTTCTGGGTGCACACATGCCCCTGGAAACACCAAAGTGAAATTGAATTTTACAATTTTATGTTGTTTTCAAACAACAGAAAAAAAACAGCATATGAAGATATTCCACTCCATCCTGGGCTAGACACGGCCATCAGATTTCTGCATGAAGAAAAAGAGGTCTGTTAAAACCCCGGAAGATCCTCACCAACCAGGAGATCCTCAAACATGGACCGAGCTGAGTGGTTCCTGGGTCCCTGCCTGTATGCCTCTGCCCAGGTGCTGCTTCAGGGATCCCTGAGTTGGCAAAGTAACCAAAATAAATTTACTCTTTGCATTTTGTCCATGGTTTTGTGGCTGTTCCTGTGCCCTGCCTGTGCTGACTCAAACACATGCACACGTTCGCTATGGTTGTGCAGAATCAAAGTAACATCATGAGTTATCTATGTGTTAGCCAAGTGTTTTAAAAAATCTTCCTTTTGGGCACAGTTTTTGTTCGTGAATGTCAAATTGGTATCATCTGAAATCTATGACTAACATAGACTGTGGAATACATCCCAGGATATGCCAGTCTTACATAATTACGAAGACACTGATTTCTACATTAAGAGGACATTTGCAAGGCTGTTTTCTACTTTGGCAAAAAGTAATCAAAGAAAACCAGAAACAGGTATCTCTGTTTCTCGCTTCTGCTGGATATGGCTTATTTACTGTTGACATGTACAAATCCTCCATTACCTGTGTCTGCCTCAATTTCCTCTCGGCTTATTTCAATATCTATTGTGCAGAGCAAGATAATGAAATTGTAATGCACAGCACCTCTAATCAGTGCTGTAAGGACGGGACATGAAGGCCTATTAGAAATAAATTCACTTGGGAATGACGGCATAGCAGTGCCGTACAAGGCAGCGGCTGCACACTGTCTCTTGTAGCTAGATGCCCCTGTCACCACTGCTGCTCCCTTTGGCACCACTGAGGAGTGAGGATTCCCACTTTGAAGGGCATCCCTCTAAAGAGTTAAGGCCTCTCGTAAGGCCCCACCTGGAGTACTGTGTCCAGTTCTGGAGCCCCCAACACAACAAAGACATGGACCTGTTAGAACAAGTCCAGAGGAGGCCACGAGGATGATCCCAGGGCTGGAGCACCTCTGCTATGAGGACAGGCTGAGAGAGTTGGGGCTGTTCAGCCTGGAGAAGAGAAGGCTC